ATTTATTTTTTAATTGTTGTACGCCGCCCAGAGTCACCTTGTGTGAGATGGATGGCTATATAAATATGATCAATAAATGTCATACTCCAGAGATAATTGTTGAATACTTGCTTTTGGGATGGATGCAAATATTATGCAATCCCTATAGCAGTCTTCCCAGTGTGATGCCCTCTGTATGTTTTGGAACTGTGATTCCCTGAATTGTATCCAGCGTGTCTAATGGCCATATTCACTTGAAAGATGAGGAACTGTAGTTCTGAAGAGTTAAGAGTACATCTGAAGAGTGAAGTATACCAAAAGAGAAATTTGGACCTTGCAGGCAAACCTGGCTAGAAAGAAGAAACTCCTTTCCAAGTCCCTTCCATCACTCCTCCTCCTTCTTGAATATGGTTTCCTTAATTTTGAGACAGATCATAGTTTAACACTTCAACCAAATTGGCAAACTGTGATTTGTACATCTCTATAAACCAAAATGGAAGCCAGTTTCTACCTGTTAAGGGATAGCTGGCCTTTTCAACCTTAAACTGTACAGATAGTCTTCAGGTTACTATGGCAATTGGGACCAGAATTGCCATCACTAATCCACACGGTCATAAAGCGTGAGTCATGTGACCCTGTCACTTAGCGATGGCAGTCCCAGCAGTCCAAGTTGCTGTCGTTAAGTGAAGACCACAAAGGTTGTTAAGCAAGGACCTCATGTGACCACCGGGACGCTGCAACGGCTGGAACTCCAAGGATTGGTCATAAGTCCCCTCGTTCAGCACCATCACAAGTTTGAATGGTCACTGAACGAGTGATCATAACCTGAGAACCACCTATAGTCATCAATCCTGCCTTGGGGCCCTACACAAAGTAGTTTACAGTTTGAATGTAGAGGTTTGTCTGCAGCAGTGGAAGGAGAGGAATAGAAGTATTCTTGGTTGTTCCTAGGATCAGAAATATTATGTTTGTCACTGGAACTGAAATAAGTCTTCTTAAAACTTAGTATCTATTGCTTCAGCTTCTTAAGAAATCTATCATTGTTGGAAATATAATTATATCTTGGTTTTTGTTGAGACAAGCTCACTGTGGAGAAAGTTATCTAGAGAATTATGCACCAATATTAAGCCTAAATATTTATGTTCAGTCCTCACTGAACAGTGAGATCTATATAATTGTGTTTATGCTTTAGACTGTAATTGACAATTCATCCAAGAACCCTGTTGCTCTCAAATATAGTATTTAGATTAAGGCACCCTGCTTTGAGATGAATTGTCACAGCAATCTCCTTGTCTTCTTCCCCATTTCTTAAACTACTAACTGATTTAAAAAACAAAAACTTTACTGTTTTACAGTGCTTTCAGCACTGTGCTAATATATACTTTTTAAAGTCTTAATCATTCACCTAGTGAACAGCAGACAGTACAGAGCACTGATAGAATGTATTTTCCTAACAGCTTTTTTGCAGTTTAGAATTTACCTAAACTACAGATGATTATGCATATTGCCAGAGGCCAAGTAAAAGAGCTCACTGAAGTTTGGCAGTCTGCAGTTTTCTTTAATGTCACAAAAGTGACTATGTTCCAAAATAGTAATGCTACAAAAATGCAGTGTTAGATTTTTCAAAAGTCCTGTATGTCTTTGGGGTAGTTTTAAAAAATTGTAAACTATTAGAAAAGAAAATAAGTTGTCATGAAAGTAGAAATTGAAAATAGAAATAGTAATCTCTTTTTTGGCAGGGGGAGGGAAGGCATGCTGTTGTTCCAAATGAGGCACATAAGTGTTTGCCATGTAATATTCCTATTTTAAAAGTGTTTCAACAAGAGTTTGTTGCTTTTCATATTTGAGAACGATTATATATTTACAATTATACATTTACAAAATGCAAAGCAAAAAGTAAAGACAAACAGTATCTTAATTCTGTTTCTCTTTTTCTTCTTCCTTCCACTCCATACTTTTCATTATGTATTCCTCATGCCTTTTTAAACAATATTTTGATCTTTTATTCATCCATGTTTCACTTATATTTCCATGGGAAACTGTTTTGTGCACTGTCTGTACCTGGACACTGCACACAGCTCACCCTTTCTTTTTTCAATCAGGATGGCGGCCTAGTGGAAGAGCCCACTACTTCACCATTTTTGCCTTCACCAAGCCTGAAGCTCCCCCTTTCAAACAGTGCACTCCCTAATCAGACCCTGGGTGGGATTGCCTCAGGGCTGGGCATGCAAAACTTGAATTCTTCTAGACAGGTAAGGTACCTTTTCAGTGTCAACTGTGTGAAAGTTGGTTGCTCTCTTAGTAAAAGGAATATGGTTTTTTTCTCCCTATTTCCATTTTCAATATCCCTTTTTCAAATGTAAGTAAATGTGTCTAAGTCAAAAACTAATTTGGCATCTAAGCCATTTTCAAGCGACAGTCATTACTATTGGAGATAAACAAGGGTCTTTATCTAGAGATCATTATGCCTTTGCCTTACTGCTGCTGCTTCTCTCCACAACTTCTCAGCTACTGCTTCTTTTTCTTTCCTCCCCTGCTGCTTTTCCACAGCATATCTGGATAGTGTTACTCTTTCCTGTTGTCATGCTGATCACACTTCTCACAACCTGTAATCCTTCTCTTCTTAGGTTTCTTCTTTCCTCCTTCTCAGCTGATTATCATTTACTGTTATGCTATGTTAGGGTTTTTATATTATCCTGTCCCCCACCCCCAGCAAGCTTTCTTGACCACAGTATGTGGTTGGTAGTCAGGATTAGACCAGTTTCTATTTTTGGTTCATCCAGTCAGTAGAGTTGATGGGGCTGCCAATCCTGCCAATCCTCAGCACAGAAGAAATTGAATACTTCTGTTAACACTATTGTTTATGGGGTCTTCAGCTTTGTTAGGCAAGTGGGCACATTTGGAATTTTGAGAATATATTATAAGTACATTCACAAATCATTTGGCTTGGTGCATATGGTAAATCCAAAAGGTCATCTGGTGAGGCTTAAAAAAGCACAAATTTTCCAAGAATTGAAAATAAGACAGAGGTGAGGACTGCTACCCCAAAACAACACTGTTTTGAATTTATTTTCTTGCCTGTTTTTGAGGCCTAAAAACAGAAAAATTCATTCAGGATCTCCTCTGCAAGGCAGAGATGGGAGCTGAACCCCCAGTGTTAATTACATATACCTCCCTGCAAAACAAAATACCACTTTCTCAGAATGCAAACTGTTGATTTTAAAGAGGCATACATATACATGAGGGCATGTGAACACACACGTTCTCAATCTTCCCCATTCATTTTCTACTGCACCACCTCTAGGACTGCAAGATGATCTCTGTGAAGTCCAGCCCCTCCTACCACACACTTTTTTTCCTGGATATCTACCAATTATTTTTATTTTCTAAGAATGCCCCTGGTAAGCTGATGTTTTGCTCTGCAGCATGACTCTTTCCTATTTACTTACTTCCTTTTTGTTCAATGTGAGAAATATTTTAAGGCTATTGGGGGAAAAAAGGGAGACCCTGGCATTATGCCCGGTGAGGTTCTGCAGACACAATGATGCCCATAGGCACCACATTGGGAACCCCTTGCTTACTGCATTATGCCAGTTTGTGCTCTGATTCTTGTGCATTTAATAATTGCTAATTTATTAAATTGAGTCAGACTAAAAACCACATAGTGAGCTAATAATAGAGCAAGATTAGGCAATTTTTGAACCTTCCGTGTAGTTTGGCTGCAGCTCAGTAAACCCTCATGTAAGGCGTCAAGTTGCCTTAGTGCTCAAAGATGGTTGTAGTGATAAAGCTATAACTTTTTACTTTCATATACACTGTCCTGGGCTGGATTATTTCCAGGCCAAATTAAAAGTACCGGTTTTGCTCATTTAAAACCCAAAAGTATGAGAAAGCCTTCCTAAGAAAATGAAACATATTAAGGACTTCCTTTATGTTTTTATTGTTCTTTACAAATTTATACACTAATTTCCTGCACAAGATGTTATGGGTGAGTATCCACAAGTACACAAGGCAATTTATACAACATTGAAATAGTACAAGGTATGACTAAAATGTAACATAGAAAGGAAACAAGCAAAACCAACAAGAGTTTTAAAAAATAAGCAGCAGGTTGAAAGCAGCAGATCACTTAAGAGGTTGGCAGTTTCCACTAATATTACATGTTTTTCACTTCTCTAAGAGGTATCTCTTGCTAGTCTGAAACATGACACAGTTAAGAAAAAATATGTACCGTACAAGGAAGATGCCTCAGAGCATGTTCAGCTTGAATTTCTATGTGGGCCAAGTAATTGGCTCCTTTTTGCACTGAATTAGGGTTAGCAAGGAAGGAATTTAGCCATCCAGTGGAATACTGCTAACTTTAAAATATCTTGAAAAGGAAGAACCTGCAGATTTGTCTCATCATTAGCAGTGTGGCGGGTAGGCATAAAAGGCAGAGTCTTCTCTGTTGTTACCAAGTTTTTGGAATAGTTTTCTAAGGAACACTTAGTTTGATTCTATCCATAGTCGCTTCCATGAAGACTGTCTTATTTTATCAGTCCTTTATACTGTTGTGTTACAATGTACAATGTAGCACTGACTTCTCATTCCATTTAATTTGTCTGTATTATATATATTTATGCTCTAACTTTGTTAGACATTCTGTACTCTGAAAAAAGAACAAGGTAGAAATCTCTAGATGAAAAAAATCATAAGAGGAATCACCTGAAACATTTTCACTATAGAATCATAGAATAATTGTCACCATAGTAAGAAATCATTTTGAAATCTTAACAACTCTGTGTGGTAATAAAAGAAATGTGGTACCTTAGTACCACTTCCACACTTTCATCAAAATTGTTATACTTAAACTAAAAACAAACAAAAGTTCTTAGAATGAAATAGCTGTCTGTCTGTCTATTACTTGTCTATCTAAACCTATAAGGATTAGGGTGTGGGAAACATTGACTGCTCTTTTTATTTATTTTACTTGTATTGCTTTAATTTACAAAAAGGAGGAAAACAAAAACAAAAGAAATAAAAAAGAACAAAACCCACAATAACCAACAGAAATGAGAAAAAGGAAACAACAAAAGCATATTATATTACAGTTAGCCCCAATTTTTAAACACATCATTAAACCATAAGCACACAGGATAATTTTGATTGGTCTTTCCATTATGTTGACCAAGAGACTGTTTATAAACAGAAAGCACACATGTATTGTGATGCAAGATTGTAAATGTGGGTGGCACTGTCTTTCCTTAATTGAAAAGTAAATCTTTTTTAAAAAGAAGCCATTTTTAAAACATCCTCTGGAGAGTACAATAAATGTGAAAGAGTGTTTGTTGTTGTTGAATAAATCTAAACTTAAGATCATAAGAAACAAACTCAATATTCTTTAACACCTTTAGCTACTGGTAATCCAACTTTATATACCAAGGTTCTTGCAAATATCTAATATCTATCCTAGTAATATTTTTAGTTGTTTATAAAAATATTGTAGATTTAGAATGTGTTTAAATTCAAACTACATTGCAGTAGCGATAGTAATTCAACGATTCCAGATATTGGTTAAATATGGTCATTTTCAATTAAAACATTTCAACCAAACTGTGAAATCAAGAAATGTTTTAATTGAAAATGACCATATTTAACCAATATGCCATTTCACAGTTATAGATAATCCAGATACCTCTCGCAGTAGCTCAGATGGTTTAAAAAGTTGATTGGCAATGAGCTGATCCTTATACATGCACATGCATGTATACATACCTATCTGACATTGCTGTTTGAGGTAAACAATGTTATATAGAGCAACAGAAAAGTAATAAAAAAATAGTAAGTTGAAGAAATTAAAGGTACAACAGAAGAAAAGGAAACATAACTAAATCTAGTTTACACCAGTGCCATTAATATATGTGCCATTCTCTCTTTGCAAATCATCTTTGCTTCTACCACACCCATACAGTGCTTCATACATTACCATTTGAAAGTAATCCACAAGATTAAATTATGGCATTTAAATTTGTAATACTTTATGAGTAGAACTTTAGATTTAGGTGGTATATTATTCTGATATAAAACTTAATTAAAATCTCCAGCCATAATAGTCTTAACCACAAATATAAAGATGTTAAAAACATCTATATCTGGAAAGTCCCTAGTAGGATTATGTTAATTAATAAGCATAGTATGTTTATTAAAACTATTTATTTATTTATATATCAAAATTGTCACTGCCTATCTCATTAAAAACAACTTTGGGTGGTTTACAAAGCAGTTAAAATCAATTAAAAATACAATATAAAATGATCCTGAATAAATAGAAAATAAATATAATCCAAGAATAGATGTTAAATTGGTAGTAGCTCAGGGAGCATCATCAAGGTGTCAGCCACCCCCAGGATTGGGTAAGATTCCTGTCACCCCACGCAAGCTGTCAGAGTCAGGTCTTTAATCCTTTCCGGAAGGCTGGGAGGGTAGGGGCCTGCCACACCTCTGGGGGGGAGAATATTCCAAAAGGTGGGGGCAATGGCAGAGAAGGCTCTCCTCCTGGGCCCCGTCAGCCAATATTCTCTCGCTGCCCTCTCTGCCTGACCTGGTGGGACGGATTGATGTAATGGGGGTGAGATGGTTCCTCAGGTAATCACTAATATTTACAAAAATCTTTCTGGATCATTTATTTATTGTTTCATCAAAACCTTTAACTACTTGTTAATCAACATTATTGTACTGGTAGCAAATTATGACCAACCCATTAATAAATGAATGACCAAACCATCCCTTTGATAGGAGACCCTTCTCTTGTAGAAGAGAAACAGTTTCTTGTAAAAAATAACTTCAGATTTTAACTTCCCAATTTGGAAATACTGACCTCCTCTTGGAGGGATATCTAAGACCTTTTGTGTTTCATGAAACTAACTGTGATGCTGGAGTGAAATACAGCCTCTCTCTCTGTATGTATATATAAATACATATGCGCACCAATATTTCAGAACATCAAGGTAAAAGGGAAAGAAATGTCTGACATTTTGAAAAACTATCCCTCCCTCCCAAAAAACAAAAAATAGAAAGGATAGAAATGTTTTAAAAAGCTAAAGAGTGTAAAAACCAAAGCATACACCTCCCCCTTGAAATGCCCACTAGAATGCCTGGATGGAGTGAATTGACTAAATTCAGCCAAAGCTATCAGCTGTCTACTGCCAGCTCAGCAAGTTGCTTTCCAGTTCTCTCAAATGAGGCAGAAGACTTTTGTTTTCTCAATTTTGGACCCAAAATAAATCAAGTGGAAAACACCGCTGACCAGTAAATTAGACAGGAAAACTTTGCTTTTTACTAATTAGGCAGTAAAGCAGTCAAAAGATACAGAGATTACCACTTAGCTTGGGAGAGATCTGAAGTTGTAACTCAGCACATTACTATTTCAAACCAAAAATAGTAACTGTTCTAAACATCACATAGATTGCCAGCGGCTAGGGTAAAACGAAAAGCATTTATGTAGTTACAGAACATGAATACCTATTTTTAAATATTGTTGACACTAAATGAATAGAATAAGCTTGCATTTCAAATAACAGTAAAATCAAAAAAACTATGCTACTGTGCATGTTGCACTGTATAGAGAATCAAAAGGAAATGCATATGGCATGTTGATTATGATTTTCTGATTTTGTAAGGCAGATTTAAATATACACAACTACCTATACGGTTCTACTATATATTTAAATAATTTCTATTAGCAATTCTCCCCATATGGTTCAGCTGTTTTAACCATGCTGTTGCTAACTGTCTTCTAGTAGCATTGCAAATTAAAGTTTTAAGATAGCCATTCCTTCCAGGCACCTTACCAGAGAGGGAGGTGCCCACGTATGGCTTGGCCACATATATTTTATATACTTGATCTTTGGGATAGTTCAACATATTTGTGCAGATATCCAGTGGAACCAACATCAGTATATTGGTACCTACTTACTTACATTATCCCATTTTTAATATAACACTTCACTAAAGCATTGATTGAAATACCTAATTTTTACAGGGTGTCGTTTGTCGAGTAACGTCTAGAGCAGTTTAAATCATTGTCACAAAGTAAAATGCACTTCTGAAAGATGTGGATTTTGTCATTCTGCAGATACCGAGTGGCAATCTGGGTATGTTTGGCAATAGCGGAGCAGCACAAGCCAGGACCATGCAACAGCCGCAGCAACCGCCAGTGCAACCTCTTAACTCATCCCAGCCTAGTCTTCGTGCTCAAGTGCCTCAGTTTCTCTCCCCTCAGGTTAGATGGAGATTGGTAGCACTATTGGCAACAGAGCTGGACACAAGTGGCTGATCAAAAGTCATTGCTAAATTTGTGGAGAAGAAATTGGGTGGATGATTTCTAGGGGAAAGAAAGTTCTCCAGTGATTTCTAATGGACAGAACTTCCTGTTAGCAGTGACAGTAGCATCATTACCATGCATGTTAAGTAGAAATCTTAAGAAAGATAACCCTAAATTTAGGATATACAGCAAGTATGGTGGCATTGATTGATTGATTGCCACACATCAGCCACATATTTCTGTGGAAGGCATTATGAATAGCAAGATGCACAGAAAAATAGAATTTTATCTGTTCCTGCATACCGTGTGAAAAATAATTGTGACTTGAATGTTCATATTGTGTATACTCATTTTACATAATATGGCCATTTATTTATTTATACATGTATAAGATTGCTTATCTCAACAGAGTGACTCAGAGTAGCTAACAGTACAATTCTCATGAAGTATATTTCATTTGGTCTGGTACATAGCAGTTACCATCAATTCCTTGGTTTTTATTTATTTATTTATCAAAATTAACAGAAAAGAATCACAGAAAATCAGAAGTATTTTGCTTAAATTCTGGTGAGGGAGTATAGCAGTTGTGTAAATTATAGTAATAAACTGTTTTGTTCTGTCTCCAGGTTCAAGCACAGCTTTTGCAGTTTGCAGCAAAAAACATTGGTCTCAATCCTGCACTATTAACCTCGCCAATTAATCCTCAGCATATGACGATGTTGAACCAGCTCTATCAGCTGCAGCTGGTAAGTTGAAAAGCCCAAGGAAACTATATGCAGCTAATAAAGATAGTTATCTTCCTTTCTTGTTTTGGACACTTTCAGACTCTTTTTTTTTTTTTTTGGTGATTGTTATCAGATTTTTCTGTTCTTTAACTTCTGAGTCATATGTGCAGAAGCATTACCAAAACCATCCTAGCTGTTTCTCAGAATGTTCACCATATTTCTCCTTACCAAAATTTGATTCCTATAATTTTATCTACCACACTGTTAATCATTAGTAAGAGGTATGTATTATTTCTTCTCAAAGTATAATTGAGCATTATTTAAATCTTTTATGTGATCAACCTGTCTTTTGGTTTTTTTTGATGTGATTCAGAGCACAGAAACTACATTATCCTAAGTCACATTGCTCCAATTGTTAAGATATTAGTGTGGAATTTAATGTACTCTTTTGCAAGAGCTGAATCTAAGCCATCCTCTTGAATTAATTTAAGGGAAAATGCAGTTCTGAATATAAAACATCTTGTGTTCATCACTTCTTTGAGCACTTAGGCTCTGTGATCTAAATATTTAAAATATGGTTAATACTCAGCCACAAATCAGAATGTGACTATATGGTTTGAAGTTAGTTAGCAAATATAACTAAGGCAGCAAACCAGTAAATCTTCCCAGTATCTTACATGAACAACTCAGGAGCAGGATTTAGTTCAAAAACTAACTGCATTTTCATTGTTAGTTTCAGATCATAACTGAAATTATAGCAAGAAAGAAACAGGTTCAGCACTAAATGTTATATTCACAATGGGCCTTCTTGTTAATTTCTATTATTCTGGTGGGATTCCTCCATGCAGATACAAGCACCCATTGGAACGAGCGATTTTTTTAAGGTGTCATATACACAATCCAGATTAGTACACTTTTTCACAGGTTCACAGCAGTTGTCAGTCAAGCTCATGCTTTCTAAACTACAAAGTTGGGATATAAATCAAATAAATAAAAATAAAGAATTCCTGTTGCCTGATCAGTAGACTGGCATTGAAATTCTAATACTCCTGATTTAAGAGGGTGGAGAAAATAATTGCCAGATAACGAAGGGAGGAAGGTGGTGAAGAAGCTCAGGTAAGAATAATGGTTGAATATGAAGACATAACTGACAAATTTCTGAAAAAAAGGGAGGAAGACTAGCAGGAAAGTCTATAATTACCTGACGAAGAGGGACGCTTATGCTTTACCTGTTCCAGGGAAAGGGAAAACACAGGTTTTGTTTTCAGTCTTGTCACAGAGCAGTAAAAAAATCTATATTGTGTATCTACTACTTCTAGATTTTGGATACAGGTTTTGAAATGTGGCAAATACCCCAGATATGTATTCCTAGAAAAAGTCAATAAAATGGCTTTGGCAGTGATGGAGACTGGACAGAGAGTAAGCCAGTGCCACAACCATTTGGTTTAAAAGTAGAATTTAAAATGGTTCTTTAGTTATAGATGTCTTGAGATCTTAATTGCCAATTTCTCATATCCTGTATAATCTACTTCCCCATCACAGCCAGAAATTCACATACAGGATGTAATTCCCACAAGGCATCAAAAATTGTCCTACAGGAGGTTGTGGCCCAAAACAAGTTCACTTATAGAACCAGGTAGTTTCTTAAATGATAATGCTTTCTTAAGGCAAAAGGATTTCTGGCTGTGTCTCAAAGTGGAAGATTACCCTGAAATGAGATGAAGCATCAGAATAAAAGTTGCATTAGGCAAAAATCATGAGGAATGACCCTGGGAACCATGCAAACCCAAAGTCAATCATCTGTATTCTAAATTCTAAATAAAGCAGTAGGTAGACAAAAATACAAGAAAGGAAAAGGTAATGATGCCCAGAATCAAGGGTATTTATCAAAGGATTTAGTGAATTAGAAGATGTCTTCAGTATATGTCAGAATAAAGATGTTTAAAACATAAAATATGTTTTTCCTGAAATCTAAAGATGCTTTAACAAATGCTTTAAAATAATATGATTGTCTTTAGGTCTGTTTAAGCAAAATTAGGCCACCACAGACAAAAGAGGGTCATCATATCCAATAAAATTATTCCACTGCTACTCTGATCTTCTTGAGCAATTAAAAATGGAAATGCTTCAAAACAGGCATATTTTTCCCATCAGCACTTTCATTTGAATGGTTCAAGCATTCATTTATAGGTAGATTAAAGACTTGCAATCGCTTTGGCATGGACATTATACATGGATGGATATTCATACATATTATGAATCCTTTTTTAATTAATGGAGAAAGTGTGTCTTTTAATTCCATCAGTGGAGGTGATCCATGTTCTTGTTCTTAGTAGTCACAAAAGCCTTTTAGCTTGACTGCTCTTTTCAGAACAGAATGGAAACTCAGATCCATGGGAAATCTTCCAAGCACTATATGCAAGCGATGGACAGGACTAAAGTCCTGCTTCCTTCCTCAGCTGCCTGGCCCCCTACAAATTATCTTCCACCCCAGTACAGCAGTTGGTCTTAAAAGCCTCTCCAATGGCATCTATAGAAGGGTTTCTTTTTTCAAATTTTTTTTTTTTTTATAATTTTGCTACCCTCCCCCCCCCACCCAAAATGTGACCTTCTGTAAATCCATGGCAATTTTACATTTAGAAATCCAATATTTCTAAAGGAAATTAGAGGATTTTTCTAAATATAGTCCTGCGATCAAGACAGGCAAGAGGGTAGCTATGGACTGGATGAAGAGGCCTATACTTTTTGAAGTATGTTCAGCCGATGATACTTTAGTTCTTACACTTTTTCTCATTGTCTGTTTAATGCCTTATTTTCAGTTTTAACTGGCTAAATACTAATCGTAGCCCATGTTTTCTCTGAGTCTACTCAGTGCAGTTAAGGAATTTCAAGATTTTTGGGGCACCATACAGGTGAATGGCAGAATGCAGAAGTACTAAATCTATTCAAACCCTGATTAATGCACTGTAAAGTTGGGCCTCTTTGTTCTGTGACCTATGATTCCTTTCTTTCTATCTTTCAGGCATACCAACGTTTACAAATCCAGCAGCAGATGTTACAGGCTCAGCGTAATGTTTCCGGACCCATCAGACAACAGGAGCAGCAAGTAGGTGTAACTCAATTCCAGATGTACCATCACTAAAGAATTGTGTATGGTGTATAACAATGATTATTCATAAAGTAAACATTCTGTGCTGCATACTTTTATCCAGGAATAAATCAGTAATTGTAGTGGCAGATTTCATTTTCTCTAGCCTATGCATGATACATCTGAAGTTTCATCAATGAGTTCATTGCCAGCTCTTTGGCTTATAGTCCAAAAGTCATAATCCTTTGTGTTATATGCTGTTTTTAAAATCATTATTGTTGTTGTTATTGTTATTTTGTAGGTTGCACGTACAATCAATAACATGCAGCAGCAAATTCAGCAGCACCAGCGCCAGCTGGCCCAGGCCCTGCTTATGAAGCAGCAGCCACCCCCTCCACACCTATCTTTGCACCCCTCTGCAGGCAAATCAGCCATGGATAACTTTTCACCCCATCCCCAGGCTCCTGGCCTATCTGACCTGCAGACCAAAGAGCAACAGTCTTCACCGAACACCTTTGCTCCTTACCCCCTTGGTATGTGTAGTTTTTGTAAAGGGCTTACTGCTGATAATTTAAGCATTTAATAATTTTGTCTATTTTTCTTTTTCTTTTTTTCTTTTGGTAATTATTGCTAATAAAGGCCCCCAAGCCCTTTCGCCTTATCCCTCACTATCAGATGCAGCATCTATGTTTTTCCTTCCCTGCCAATAGAAGAGTAAAATGTAGACAATTTCTGTTTACAACACTAGGTGTCAGCAAGCACAAAATTTTCTATTTGGGAAATACCATGAACGGATAACCTGGTGCCCTCTATTTTTTTCTGGATTTTGATCTCCATCAGTCCTAGCCCATATAGACAGTGGCAAGAGATTATGAGAATTGTAGTCCAGAATATCCAAAAGGTGTCAGATTGCCTACTCATGGATAACTAAAATTCCTCATTCTTTGATTCTGTCTTCCTTTAGTCTCTTCTTCTTGGTGTTCCTGTCACAGGAAACCACTTTTATGATGATCTGGCTACTTAACCCAGGACATAGAAATGCAGCAACTAAGGATGCTAGATCTCCCATGATCCTCCCAGATCAAGTCTTAAAAAATAAAGACATAACTGCAGTTGAGCTCAACTCCTGGGGTTGCATCCATGCTGCTTTCTTGGCAGCATTATGAAAGTGTCATTGTCTTCTTTGGGGAAGATTTTTTTTTAATTTCCCAATCTAGCACGTACAAATGATCCAGAATTCTCTTCTGGTTTCCAATCCAAGTAATAACCAGGGTGAGCCAACAGCTAACATCTCCTTAAACAATTAATTTTTAAAAAGGGGCAAAACTTTGCACAATCATCAAATTTCATGAGATTTCTAGCTCAATATCTCATGAGATTTCAGGACAAGAATATTGAAATCTTGCAAGATTCCACAATCTTGTGACAATTCAGCCATTTTAAAATTGAGTTTTAATTTATTTTCTTTTGTGGCAATTCAAGTCATCTTGAGAAATTGTTTGTTGGTACTTAGCATCTTTAAAAAAAGCATCACACATTTAAAACAGTTCTTTCACCCAAGTGTCTAAACTATTCAGAGCTTGCCAGGTAAATACTCTCTTCCTTACTGTCAGAAAGTAAATATGCATCACGTAATTGTTAATTAACCATTTTGCTTACTATTCATAACCCCCAATTTCATCAAAGTAAAATTAGGTCATTTCTTATACATGACAACAATTTTTATTTTTTTAAAGATAGAGAACATTATGATATTTACGGGTAAAAATCACCATGCAAGTATTTCAGTACATACAACTATTTTCTAAAGATGTCTGCTAATTGTCCCATATTTGGATCTTTTTCTTTCTGGCTTCAGACTTGATAATGGAATTAAAACAGCTTTGAAGAAGTGAATTTAGTGGACTTCTTAGTGGCATTTAAAATACTGTGATACTATACTTAGTATTTCTCTGGAGTCTCTGGCTGATACGGAATTTGCTAATGCTGCTGTGCAAGAGATTTGAACCTTTATAGTGGAATAATTCTAAAAAGTGGCAGTCACCTTTGGCATTAACCTTTGGAGTTCTTCATTTTGTCCCGTATTTTTCTTCAACATCTACAAACTTGATTAAGGTGTAGATGTGTAAAGCCCATAAATCCTCTAACTCTTACAGCTCACTCTCTTCAGAAGTATTACTCTCTTGTTCCTGTAACACCTGGGGAGATTTCTCCTGTGGTATTAAAATTTAGGATCTCAGAATGATAGAAAGTAGACTCCATCCCAGCAAAAGAAAAGAATCCTTTTACATCCATATGCTGACTTTTAGAAGTAATGAAGGGAACTAGAAAGATACTTGATTTTCTCTCCTATTTCTATTCCTAGTGCTCTTTTTTCCTTTCCATTCTTTTCCCTTCTTCCCTCCCCTCCCCTCCCCCTTACCAGTAGATATACAATGCTAGCTTATGACCTGAAATGTAAACTGCCATTAAATACCAAGAATTAAGAAAATCTGACAGTTTATCCACTTCCTTTTAGCTGGATTGAACCCTAACATGAATGTAAACAGTATGGACATTCCTGGTGGTTTGTCAGTGAAGGATACTTCTCAGTCCCAATCTCGCCTTCCTCAGTGGACACACCCCAATTCAATGGATAATCTTCCCAGTGCTGCTTCTCCACTTGACCAGAACCCTAGCAAGCATGGTAATGCACGTTCTTTATACATACATGGAATTCATTTGTCACTGACCTCTTTTCGTAAATACTCTTTGGCAGAATACTTTTGCAGAATAAAAAGTGGAATGGAGCAAAACAGAACATAAAAATAAAATGTATTAGTATCCCTATAAATATATATTTCGTTAGTTCTTTAAGATATTAATATTGTTCCTGAGACTAAGCCTATTGAACTCAGTAGGATTTTGTAATCATGCCTAGCATAACACTGTTAGAAAATTAAATTTAATTTCCTCAGAATTTCTGAGGAATATTTTGAAATATTCATAGATTTATTTTTTTCACTTAAATGAACAATTCCCAAATATAGCCTAGAGAGCAGAAGATTATTATCAACCATGCTTCCATCATTAATGTAAATTTAATGCAGATTACAGCAACTGTGTCTAGAACTATACTTAAAATAATGTATGACATTCAGAATCATATATTTCAGCTTAAGTACCGAAATTTGTATTTGGTCTCTTGTTTTGTTCTAGTTACATTTCTGAAACTCAGTTACTACTGTACTGTTTTTTAAAAATATCAGTGTTATTTACAGGTTGAGTCGTTAGCAAAATCCCTTAACTGATACTCACTTAAAATATTGTGTGTGTGTGTGTGTGTATTATTTGAATTCATTCAAATCTTTATTTTAAATAGTATTTCTAACAATAGCAAGTCATTTTTTTTTACCTTTACTTACTTTGAAATAAATCCCATTGTCCTTAACAGATCTGTATCCTAGAAAAGTATAGAAAGATTTCTGGTTTTAATTGCATGAACCTTTTGTAGTAGCCTTCTTACTCTTCCTAGTTTAATTTTCTACCTTTCCATTAAGTGTTCAGAATCATGCTGCCTTTTGTGACTGAAATGTAGCTTCATTTATTTTTGATAGTGAAATGCAATAGGAAACACAGCCAACGTTTAATTTTGTTAATACATTTATGGTCTCTTGCCTATGCTTCTTCCATTTCCAGGTGCTATCCCTGGAGGTCTGAGTATTGGCCCTCCAGGAAAGTCCTCCATTGATGATTCTTATGGCCGGTATGATCTGATTCAAAATAGTGAATCACCAGCCAGTCCTCCTGTAGCTGTTCCTCATAGCTGGTCACGTGCCAAATCTGATAGTGATAAAATCTCCAATGGCTCCAGCATTAACTGGCCACCAGGTAATCTCCAATAAGTATTGTAGAAATGTTGCTTGGAAGTAACTTAAGGAAGTTGTCCTGAGCTAAGGTGATCGCTTCAGTACTCCAATAGTTATAATGTATTAGTCCAGCTCAGCCTATTTCAGCCACCCCCAGAATTCTCCAACTTCATGCCTGCTATATATACCACATATTGTTTCCCCAGTTTTCTTGGAAACAGTCAATTTTTGGATCAAAGAGTCTGTGAAGGGAATTAAGTGTAACTTTTCCTAATCATTTACATCATCAGGTCCTTTGTCCTGAAATGCATTGTTGTTGAGAACTCAATGTAGTATGTACTGTGTTTTTAAGGGCAAAGAGATGCATTTCCTAACTCCCTCATTGTTTTCTCGTTCAGGATCCACTGAGAAATGTTCTTTTGAAGTTTTATCTAAATGGTTTAACTATACTTTTATCTTGTACTGTTGTTGGACAAAGCGTATAGAATGACAGAAATCCCAGCAGTATAACAATGAACAGCAATGAATTAGCTCTAAAATATACAGCAAAATCTACCCACCAAAACTTCCATAGATGAGAATTTTCATTGATCTCTATTTTCTGTGACTCTTGAGAAGTGAAATGTTGATTTCATCTTATTTTGCCAAGCAGAATTTCATCCTGGAGTACCATGGAAAGGATTACAAAACATTGACCCTGAAAATGATCCTGATGTTACCCCTGGAAGTGTTCCTACGGGTCCTACAATTAACACCACCATACAGGATGTCAATCGCTATTTACTCAAGAGTGGAGGTACTGTCACATTCATTTGTTCTATTGCATTTATTGTTTCTCTTCTCACATCTGTATTTTTAGAGTAGATGCTAGACTGTGTTCAGGCTCAGAATTGCCAAGTTATATAGTGGTGTGCATCTTCAGCTGGTTAAACCCCAAAACAGCTTTGATAATTAAATATTAATCAGTGGAATAGTGGGATTAGAGGCCTTTCTTCAGTAACTTTTTTTTGGCAGGGGTAGGTTTACACTCAAAATTCTCCCTGGCTGTTTCTTTCTTTAGAAAAGAAGATACACTCAGGTACAGCCCCATCTTCTTAAGCCCCATCTTCTCTGCTTAATTTCACAGCCTCCTAATGCTGAATTACTTTTTAATTATTACTTGAAAAGAAGAAATTGGAGAAAGATGGTATTGCCTCCTGCCATGTCTAGTTTGACCTTCAATCTTGTACAACTAAAAGTTGAGCTAGAATATTTCTGTACTTTCTAGAGCTTGCTCATATTGAAATATCTGATACCTTGTTTCTTTTAAATTTGAGGGGTTCAATTGAAAGATTTCTTTATTCCTCTGGAGATTTCAGCCTGTAAAAAAATTAGTAAAACTCATTTAAACTTCTTTTCTCTAGAACTTGCTCTGTTGTCCTTGGCCTAGTGAGGATTTATCTCTCACTATCTGCTCCTTTGTGGTATAGCCATAGAACCATACTTTCAGATGCAAGCTAATGTTCTGTAATTACCTTGTTATTTCAATAACCAAGATAATTATTTTCACTGAGAGGAAATAGACTCTCTGATCCCAGAATTATAATATAAAGGCAATATAAAATGTTATAGTTCTTTCGTAATGAAAGTTTCACCTTTTTATTTGATCTTTTTCAAAGATGATGGTATTAGGCCATACTGTATGTCCAAACTGGATCTTGTAGAACAGTGTTAGATAGACTCCAATGTGTGCTGACTTGGAAGGAGAACCCATTTCTCCTTTTGTTCAGAAGATGGAAATTAATAATCCTCCCTCCCTACCTTCATGCAAAGGAAGGAATCATCTTCCTTTGCTCAGGAAAGGAAGGATCCCCTTCCTTCTTCTGAACATTGAAGATTACCAGAGGCTGGAAGAGGTGTCAGTGACAATGTCCAGGGAGTGGGAGGCAAGGAGAAACAAAAGTTAAGGGTAGCTGCTTTATTTTGCAGAGAACTTTACTGCCTAATTTAAATCTGTAATACTACTAGGAGTATGTGGTTGTGTTGCTGAATGAATGAATCATTCATTCTCCCTTCTTGTTGTAATATGTGTTGCTAAGAGTGACTGAGGAGCAGGATTACCCTTAAAATCTATGTGCATTGGTGACCTGCAGGCACCACAAAGGGAGTAGAATAAATGTATATTATATATGCGCTGCCAGAAAGAATTTTCTGTTGAAGTTAAATCTTCAAGTCTTTGGCCAGCTCAACACTTTAAGGAAAATAAGCTTGAAATTAAAATGTTTGTTATATGAAATATGTGTGAACTTTGTGGACATGATACAGAGGAGTTAGATTTGAGATTCTTGATGAATAATTAATGTGCATGTATTTGTAAATATCTGATGTTTTTCCTTTCTATATGTCCCGTGATACTTTTCCTTGCTTCTAACACTGCCTGCACAATGGGCTTGTTGTATTTTTCTGCCTGCCTGTTGGCTGATTGAGGGAATTAGAAAAATGCATGGTTTTTCAGCACTTTCCCAACATTTTAGGGGAGCATCAGAAGTAGAGTGAACAATGTACATACATTTCCCCAAACCTTGTGTACAGTTCCCAGAGCCCCTTCAGAGATGCCCCTGAAGCATAATTTTTAATATGCTAGAAAAGGGAAATAAATATATACCTGAGATAATACGTTAACTGTTATTCTCATCTAATTTGTCCTTAGCCCCAACCACTTTTTGAAAGATGACCCTAGCTTACTATTCAAAGGCCAGATTACCGTTTGGCCTGAAGAAGTTTACACGCTCCTAATCTATCTGTCCAATGTGTCTACACATTCGTTTTGTTCTTCCTCTCCCTGAATTCAGAGATCTGTGATGGAACTGTTGCCGAGTTGTATGGACTGTTTTGGGTCCGAATCTGCAAACAGACTTGATAGAAATCCACAGCCAGAGCTTCTGCTGCCTTTTAAATTGTTTAATGGTTTGCTGAATGCAACGACAGAAGGAATGTTAACTGTGTAGCTTTAGATGATCTCTATTAATCCTTTGTGCTGCTTTCACTTTTGCCTCCACTCACCCCTGCTACTTGTATTGTGAGAGTAACTGTTATATATTTTCCTCATGAAGCAAAATAAAACCTATAATGGCTAGGGAAATATTTTTATCAGGAAGAAGATATGGGAGGTAGCTATTAAACTTCTTCCTTTCTGATCTGGATTTGTATCTCACCCTAGGCCTTTTATTAAATCTTATTTAAAAAAAAAAAAAAAAAAGGAAATCAAGAACATGTTGCTTGACTGCTGGAATCCTTTAGTATTTTACCTTATTGCTCTTATCAATTCTGCAAGGGAAAAGTTTTGTTTTTTTCCTGAAGCAAAATAAAAACCAGTCTCATACTGGGAGTATTTGACTGACATATTACAAAAACTTTGCCAACCACTGGTTTCTTTCTCACATTTGTATACAGAAGTCAAGATTAAATCATGGAAAGCCATTGCCAACCAGTATCAGCAAAACTATGCCAGATAGACCAGTGGTCTATCAGTATTGGGGGGTATTATTTTACACTCTATGATTTACAAAGCATATATAATTTGATGCCAGGCAATTTAAAAGCTTGCTATGAGCTTGCCTAGGATTTAAGACGGAAAAGGCCTTTCTGTCCTACCATCACTGAAGGCATATTTTGTTATAAAGTTCAAGAGAAGGGTTTCTTAATAACAGGCCTAGGTGCACACTGAGGAAAGCTGAAGTAGCTTCATCTTTAATGTCCTTTTATTAATATGCAAAAATATGCATATGTAGTGTTTGAGGACATCCTATTTCCAATACTTTCAGCAAACAGGAGCAACTGTATTATCTTTTCTGTTATTTTTTATAGATCCAAATTTTCTCTGAACAAAAATATGGGAAGCTAGATTGACTACAGGTAGTGCTTGCTTAACTACCACAATTGGGACCGAAATCGTTGAACGAAGCGGTCGTTAAGCGAGATGCCCATGTGACTGCTTCACTCAGCAATCGCAATCCAGGCACTCCAAGTTGTAGTCATTAAGCAGTCTCCCGGGTCATTAAGCAGACAGAGCGAAATTGCTGCCTGCTGAAGTATTACAGCTCCATGCAGAGCTGAAATCCTCCTGGCAGACAGCCCTTCCACTTTCAAACATTCTTGTAGCCCGCCAAAGTGTTTCCCCTCTGTCCGCAGAGGGGAAATCCTTCAGTGGGCTGCAGGAATGCAGCTCAGATCCTGAAGATTTCAGCTCCATTCTTGCAGCCCTCAGAAGGATTTCATCCCTTCTACTTGCAACCTCCTTGCCAGCTTGACTTTCTGGGGAAGCCAGTAGAGAAGATTGCAGATGGCAATCACATGATTGCAGGGTACTTGGCAACCAGTTGTAAATGTGAACTAGTTGCCAAGTGCCCAAAATGCAGTCATGTGACCGTGGGGGAGTGGGGCAACATTTTATGATGGCCATAAGTGTTTTACAGGTCATAAAGCACCCTTTCCAAGGCCATCATAACTTTGAACAGCCATTAAATAACCAGTCCTAAGTTGAGGACTCCTCACTTAATGTCCACAATAGGGACCATAAAATTGATTGTTAAGTGGGGTGGTGGTTAAGCAAATTGGACCCAATTTTACAACCTTTTTTGCAGCTGTCATTAAGCAAATCACCAAGGTTGTTAAGCGAATCATATGGTCATTAAGCAAATCCAGTTTTCCCCATTGACCTTGTTTGTTGGAAGCCTCCTGGGAAGATCATAAGTGGTGATCACAGGATCCCGTCGTAAGTGCAAGCTGGTTGCCAAGTGCCCAGATCACAATCACATGACTGCAGGGGTGCTGGGATGGTCATAACTTCGAGCACCAGTTGTAAGTCACTTTTTAGCACCATTGTAACTTTGAATGGCCACTAAACAAATGGTTGTTAAGCGAGGACTACCTGTACCACAAATAGAGATCATATTAGCAGGTTGATCACTTCCCATATAGATTCCCAAAAGCATGGAAGCTACCAGAGGACCTATACTCAAGATTTTTAGACTACGATGGGGGGTTGATTTTTTTTTTATTTTTCAGCCTTCCTTTATTCATGTGGAAGGTCTAAAGAGGATATTCATATGGTCCTAGCTGCACAGATACTTTTACTTTCCAATGAAAAGAAGTAGAAGCCCTCTTCAGGCCTTACTTCCTGATGCAGAATGGTTGCACAGTAGAGTGTCAGGGATACTGTGAAGAAGAATTGCAACCAGGTTTCTGTGTGTTTACTGTGTCAAAATGCATGTTCAGTCAAATGGAGACTCAAAATATACATTATTTTTTAATTCAGGCTATATGTGCATTATTATATACCTAAAATCTGGATGTTCGGTTAACATAAAAGTTCACATAAAATTGTGTAAATTTTATTTGCATTATAATTGGAATGAAGTTTAGGTTTCCATTTTTTATTTTCTGATTTTATATAGTTTGAATATCATCCATTTACATCTTTTATAGCACTGGTATGCAAAAGACAACTTCCCCCTTCTAGGCAGTATGATAGATCAGGGGGAATGGAGCATCTATATATCTCTAGCTCACTTTCTTTATGCAACGTAGTACAAGTTACTTATGCTTAGAGTTAGGTATAGAGAAGGTGGCATGGATGGGCATATTGGAAGAATACAGAAATGTGTTATTTATCTTAATGTTCCGTCATGGTCTGTGCAGTTTTCAATATTTCAGTGGGGAGTGGGAATAAACTAAGTTTCTACTGAATCCTAATAGCATCATGTGTTTATAAATGCTGCTTCCACAGAGTATTTGAATCATGCCATCTGTTTTCAATGGAAAAAATGTATTTATTTTATTAATTTATACTCCACCTTTCTATCCAATGGAATGCTTAAGACATCAAATGTTAAAAAGCCTTTAAAACCTAATTAGAATACATAATTTTCTAATTATGTTTTATGTTTAAGTTTGAGGATGAATTCAGGATTGAATATACTTGCAGCTAATGTACACTAATCACAGATTTTATAGTAATATGTCATAAGGAGGCCATGTATTTCGAAGGATTTCTTCACATCCCCTAAATCAGACACAGTCATTTCTGCACTGATCTTTGAACATATTTTGTGATGTGCAAACTACTTAAAATGTGGGAGTGATGTTGCATTCATTCTTGATTAATTAGAATAGATGTTTTTGTTGGTAAAGTAACAGTAGTAAATTGTGTATTACTAGATTGGATTATTTGGAAAGATTTTATACTAAAGTTTATTTGTTGAAGTGCACGTTAGGCAGAAGACATGGATATAAGAATCATGTTTACATTTTTTACCAAGACGCATATATGCATTCTGAAATGATTTGTGTCACTTTCTCAAACAAGCATGACAATAGATTTAGAATTCCAGATGGTTTGTAGCAGTATGATCATCTTAAAGGTGGATGGTTTTCAGCAAGTCTATTGCGTAGAATCTGACATTTGGTTTTCAATGTCTCCTTGCATAATGCAGCAATCATAAATTTACCCTGTGATGTGGTATAATATTGAGTATCCATTGTTGTAGCCAGGCTTGCTAGAACACACATTTCAGCAAACCTGCAGGAGTGTGAGGGGACAAGATTGATCAATGATGGTCATTGCAGGGATTCTTAAAGGCAAATGGGACAGTGATGTGCATTTTCTTCTGAAAATGCCTAGCATAGAATGCAAGGCAGATTCATCATAATTAGCATGGCTGCATTTTCATATTTTTCATATGCAATTCATAACTAGTAGATACAATGGCAGTGAATGTCATTGAATATGACAAAGTTAAGAACAGTTAAGGGGTATATATTTCTGCATGAACACCATCATCTTTGTCTCTGTGTTGTCCTTTTATAATGAGTTCACTGCATTGGATCATGCTTTCTATAACATTTCATGGCTAGACTTCCAAGGCAGGGCTGGACTAGCATCTTCCCTTGCATGATTTTTGTTTGCATGTGATGGTGTGAGAATTGCATATGCTATCGTAGACACCATTCTGCCCATCTTTCTTAGTTGCTTCTTTGCTGGTTCTGCAGGGTCATCCCCAACATCATCTCAGAATGCCACGCTGCCTTCATCGAGTGCCTGGCCACTTAGTGCCTCCGGCTACAGTAGCTCTTTCAGCAGCATTGCAGGTATGACCAATGGCCTTTCTTCTTAGAGGCCCCTGGGAGAGGAGGTTTTGACAAGGCCTCTGTTCTTTGCTGTAACGATGATACCACAGGTGTGCTTCTTGTGCATACTGGGCTCCTTTGTTCAATTAACTATCCTAGGAATTTAGCAATAGTGAATATGTAATGGAGATACATGAGACTGGCAATACCAGGATATGCATTGCTTCAGGATGAGAAACAGTCATTCAGTATAATGCTAATTTCTGTTAAACTAATTTCGGGACATAAACCTTTTTCTCATACACCTAGTATACATACAGTTGCCAACAGAAGTTATGCAGTAAAGAACACAGTCTGTCCAACATTGAACATCTTATTTTGGGAGGATAACTTGATCCAAAGAGACAGTGTCTTCTGCTCTTCCATGCCGTCTCTCCATCCTTTTCTCAACTATGTCTTGAAAAGAGTAGAAGTAATCAAGGTGGTCATGATCAATTTGTGTAAGGCTGAATGTCCATAGCTTCTGCACTTACCTAGCAGTTTTCAAGATGCTGGCAGTCATCTTATTCCTAGACCATTAGTGCAAGTGGGAATTCAAAGATTCATGAGGAGGGTGTGGGAGAAAGATACTTGAAAGCAGCAACACACTTAATTGTGTGTGTTTTTGTCGATCTCTAAACTCTGACATAGTGCTCTTATTCATGCTTTTTATCACATCTTGTGTATTTATAGCCATCTCCATCACCAAGGAACTCTAGGTGGCTTATAAAGGCTTAAAACAGGCATCATATACCCAACAGTAAGAAAAATATGACTCACCTGTATTGTGGAAACAAGAATGTTCCATAGTACACGTAAAATATCTTGCCAAACAATAGATAGCCTGATTTATTAACAAACAATAATCTTCATCATCATCTGCCTAATGTTTTACATGATTTAAGGCAAAAATGCCAGCTGTGGTCCTCATCATGCACTCATTGGTGGGTTGGAAAAAGCAAATTAAAAAAAACATGCATAAATGGTGAAAACTATGGACCTGCCTTTTCTAGCTCAGTGCATATTGTTTATCAGATAATATTGGACCCAGTACTGTCGCTGAAAGAATATGCTGGCTACTTTCTTCCTCAGCAGCAGCTCTTGAGGAGTTTGTTGTATTTGTGCATCTGAGCTATTTTTCAGTCTGTCTTTGCTAGTCATAGTTAATTTGCCACCTGAGGTGATGGGATTCCCCCAATTTCCAGGATGGGACCCAGAAATAAAGAATAAGAATAATTAAAGAATTAGACCTAGAATTAAAATAAACATAATTTCTGGGAGCCATCCAAAATACCATCAATACTATAATTCTGTAGTATGTCTTTTTAATTGGTTGACTGAATAAAAGTAAGGTAATTAACATCTCATCAGTCCTTCAAAATTGCAGTCTGTTGTCATGACATTGTTTTATTTTGGTTTGTAGACTGAATTACCTAAAAGGATTAGATTTCATCTTAACATGGAAAAAGAACATGGAACAACTTCTCTACAGCCACATATAAATCTATTTCCTCCTCTCTGTCACATTAGCCTTTACAGTTGCTACCCTCCCTGATTCAAATTACCTGTAACCACGTCCATAGATATCTGAAGACTCATCTTAATCTTTAATTCCAGTTGGAATTAATTAGATTAATTAATCTTAATTTAATTAAATTGGCAGTTAAAAGATAAAATTTGAAAGTTCTACTGAACCTTCAGTTCAAAAGGTTTCAAAATAAGCAAATAGTTGCCATTTATTTTACCAAGTATGCCCTTTCCTTTGGTGTGCCTTTTTTTTTCTTCTGCATCGAACTTGATTCAGATCCTAAGGTTGATTTTTCAGGATTTACTGTTTCTATGCAAAGAATTGATCTTTCTGGAAATGGAGAAATAACTGCATATTGGCAGCAACCTAGTTCATACAAGCATGATAACTGAGACAAATTGTGGGAGAAGCCATACTTAGATGATGGCATACAGTGGGAGTGTTCTTTTTATTTAAACTTAATGCTTATAACACAATTCAGTATATATAATATATTAGAAAGTGTGTTCAGGCTTGCAGTTTTAGGCTGTGTATCAACCCCTTTCCTTTATAGACGTTGGGAAATATTTCAGTGATAATCTGTTATGCTATATTTCTATTAACTGACATCCAAGTATGGTTTATTCATATGATTGATGTTTGAATATATGATTTTGTTACCTTAATCAGCTTTCAGATGTTTCACTGTAGATTTATCATCTGGTGTAGAAATTCAAATTGTGTAAATGTTAGCACATTTGTGATAGTGATGATAAAAATTAGTCAGAAATATGTGATTACAGGCATGAATCTTTTGTGATAAGGACTATCTGGTGAAAGCTTTGAGAAGCGCCTCTTCTTCATTCCCTGTGATAGTTAATGGATAAATGAAAATAGTAAATGAAACAAGTTGAAGTCTTCGCATCTAGCTTCCTCCGGTTTTGCATGTTATCCTTCTTCCTCACTTTCCCATTCTCTTTTAATAGGGAAAGGAAGTTTAACATATTATTAGGCTGTGCCTGATGCATTCTCCAGATCATCTAAAAATAGTTAGAGAGCCTCTAAGGTAGTGGAGGGCAAACTGAGGCCATAGAGCTCATGCAGCTCCCTGAACTCTTTTTTTTTTTTTTTTTTGGCATCCCCAAAATCATGTTTGATCACAGTTATCAAAAACTGGTAGCATTGTTTTCTGCCAGGTTGTGATGGGAAATGAAAAAACACAATGTTAGCCCTAAAATAGTTTTAAAATTAATTAAAAATTAATATAGAGACAGAAAAATGCAAAGGGAAAAAAATGGAAAACTCCTGGCTCAACCCACTTTGCTTCCACATGCTAACCATAAAATATTAAGTGCAACCCCCAGACACCCAAAGTTTGCCCACCATTATTCTAGGAGTAATTGTTAGTAATGACTTCACATATCTATACTTGGGTCTCCTTTTTGGAAAGAGGAGAAGGGAAAAAAGAGATAAAACATGGTGGGACAAGAAAGGGAGTTTGCCTACAGAACATATCTGAAGCTGAAGGGACCCTAATCTACCACTCATTGGGTATACCTTCAGTCTTATTATAGTTTCTGTAATTCAGAGATTAGGCTTGTAGAATATACTTTGTTTTTACTAGGCACTTCAGTGGCTAAGGGAATCAAGCCAGTTGTTGACTCTGTGAGGTATACACTGCTATTAACTGAATTTGCAGCCCCTTGCTAGTCTTTCCCAAGGATCTTTGTGGATCCCAAAGTAGCTTCTGTATAATTCATGAAAATTAGAAATTTCTTTCCTTTTCTGTTGGGGCTGGGAGAGTAAAATGATATTATATGCTTGAAATTGGTAAACAATTGGATTTATTCTGAAGTCATGATGCTAGATGAATATCATATCTTATACCTTCCTAATTGGAGACCATTCTGGGAATCTTTGATGGATTAATGAGATTTACGCAGCAGAAAACTGAAAAGCGTTAGTAAAGATCAGCAATGTATTGATCACTGTTTGTTTGAAGTTCACCATGTTTATATATGGGAGAGCAGAAACCTGGGGATCCCAGATTGTCTCAAACTCTACATTCTGACAAACAAATGAACTGTATTTCTCTGTTACAGGTAAATTGTCAGACATCAAATCAACGTGGTCTTCTGGCCCAATTTCTCACACACAAGCCTCTTTGTCACATGAACTCTGGAAGGTACCCAGGAACACTACAGCTCCTACAAGGCCACCTCCAGGCTTAACAAACACCAAGCCATCGTCTACCTGGGGTGCCAGCCCATTGGGCTGGACCAGCTCTTACTCCTCTGGTATTCCTGGTTTCTTTTTTTCTTTTTTTCTTTTGACTTAACTGCATAGATTATATATGCCTTTCCTTCAAGAGCTTAAGGCAGCATATATAAGACTTTCGCATTCAGTTTTTTCCCACAAACACAACTGTTTGGGCTGAAAGGGGTAACTAATCTAAACACACCCAATGAACCTCCATGGCTAAGGGTGGATTAGAACCTGGGTCAGTCAAACGCCTTTTTATTGGCTAAATAAATACAATATATATTTGCTTTGTGTTTAGGCTTTTTTATGTAGAAAATCTTGACCTAAAAGTCAGTTCATATAATGGGATGTGAGAATAACCTCGAGGAACAGGAGGAAGAGCTGCAACCAAGACAATGGTCAGATAAAAGAAATTTGAGTCCAAAGCAGTAATGTAATTTGAGAAGATGTCTCAGACTTGTCCCTCCCTAGTTCTCGTGTAAATAAAGGCAGGAAGAGAGAAGGCGCTTTCAGACTTGCAAGATTCTGTTACTGTAACCCTATAATAAAGTAGTTTTAGTATTAATAACTTTGGTTCCCAAGTCTGGTCTGCCTCTATGGGCTGACAGTGCAACATTGTCGGTGTCAGTCACTCTGTTCAGATGCATCTCCCTTCTGTTTAGATTCTGAATTATTTAATTTATTCTACAACCCTATACAGACATACCTATAAATAGATTGTATTACACTGAGGTACCTTTTATATATTTATATAGGTATATATGTATGTATGTATGGCTTGGATTGCACTAACAGAAATGTAAACAAGTCTACATTGAAATGCAGTACTTTTCTTGTGGGTTTCAGCCAGTTAAGACACAGCTTAAGGATCAGATTATATACCATCATTCTGTTCTGTTCTGTCTCAAGGCAATAGAGATACATGAAAGACAAAGGAGAAGTCAATGAGGAATTAGATATGGGAAGAAGAGAGGAGGAATACAAACTGACAATTTCAATTACAATATTATTTTATCCATGTACTGTAGAAATGGATATCTAATACTCATATGGTTACCAGATTTAGCTTGCAAAATCTGCTAGAATTTTCTGGATCTCTTTGCTGCTATCTAATGGTCATCTAGAGTTTTACAACCCTGAACTGGTAGTCCTAAGCGTCCCAGTTTCAAATATAGCATACTTAGTTTTTAATTAGCTTTCTTTGCTGGATTAATAGCAGGATTTCTAGCTTTGAGTTAAGTATAGTAACCTACCTTACTTAAGATGGGCCTTTTTTGTAATTGATGCAATTGAAAAATTTGAAGCAGCATATTTTGTTTTTACCAGAATCAAGCCAAGGCTGAAAAAGAAATTGTCCTCATCTTATAAGTCCTAATGTCTATAATTTGTCTATGTCTATCATTGTGCAACTTTCAGGTTAACTGCTTTTTTTTCTTTTATATTTTACTTTTTAAAATATGTATTACTGTAAAAATATTAAAATACAACAGAAACTAAGAAGAGAGATGAGATAAAACAAAAAATGACTAATACATACAGATTTTTTAAAGAAGACATAATGAAAGAAAAGATAAAACCTTTCTGGGGATAGATAGATCCTCCCTTTCCCTTCCATTTGTTTCCCAACCACTAACCACAATTTAAGTATTAGTACTTGAATTTTTTCTAATGTTTTAATCTGTGGATTAATTTAGCACAAAAAAACAGGGAGGAGGGGAGGGAGGGAGGGAGGAAGGAAGTCAGTCAGTCAGTCAGTCATAATGGAAACTTCTCAGCAATGTATTTAAGAGTCAGCTTAAGTCATTCTAGAAAATGTACTCCTCAGGTTTGTGTCCTATATGTTCTGCTCTCTTTTCAGTTGTTGGGTTGGACTTTCCCTCATGTTTTCTTTGTTCTGTTGTAGGCTCAGCCTGGAGTACTGACAGCTCAGGAAGAACAAGTAGCTGGCTAGTTCTCCGTAACCTCACTCCCCAGGTAAATGAAACTTTCTGTATGTTAGAAGAACCATAAAAAATATTTGGCACTGTACTTGTAAATCCTTAGACCCTGCTGCTGTTGGTGTGTTTTATGAAATTTTGATAGCGTAACTATTGGAGCTTTCTATTTTAAGCATTTTATTTCTGAAGCAGCAAGTTGTAGGATTGGCCTACTTGACATTTTTATATATTAATTGCAAGGATAGCACTCAGGCAGCATAGTATCTCAGCACTGTGCATGCAAGACATTGTACTGTGTTCTTATTCAGTCCTAACCTCATTAATGTCTTAAGTTATGTGATCATAAACATGTGCAACACCCATTAATTATAAATATATATATATTGCCTTGAAATGTGAACCTTTTGAGTTTTTTAGCTTGAAAGGAGAGATCCATCAGTCAAATTCAAATTTTAGATTGCTGAAAGCCAAATATATAGTTCAGTTATGGTGCCAAAACGATAACATTGTTTTTCAGAAACAATATTAACAATCAATATCCTGACATGCTACAAAAACCCTCTCCCAAATAAACACCAACTGCATGGGGGCCATCTGCACTTCACTCCTTGAAGGCTTCTTGGAACAGCCAGATATTGATGGCCTTCCTGAATTCAATAAGGGTTGGGATTATTGTAACTATAGGGGGATAAAACAAGAGAGAGACAGCAACAAGAAAGGCCCAGTTTCATGGTCCCTAATGATTCATTCTCTTAAGAGTAGGATATCTAAGAAAGCCCTCTGTCCCTGACCTCCCTGGGTTAGCAGATATGACTGGGAGCAGTAAAGATAACCAGATCCTAAGCCATTTGTAGGGCTTTAAAGATGACAACCAGCACCTTGAATTAAACCCAGAAAGCCACTACTAATCATTGCAGTTCTCAAAGTAACAGTGTTACATAGGCAATATAAAGAATGCCAATAAATATTTGAGCTGCTGCATGCTTCAGCTATAGCTTTTGGATGGTCTTCAAGGACAGTCCCATGCAGATTGCTTTCCAGTAAAAACTGGTGCACAAAATGGAGTTGTGCATCCTCCTGGCCACAACTGCCACTTGCTCATTGAGCAAGAACAATGAATATTTTTATAATATAATAAATTTTAGATGTATTTTGTATTTTATATATATTTATGGTTTTAATGTTTTTTGTAAGTCGCCCAGAGTCCCCCATTG